CTTCTACCCCAAAGCTGTCTCTCCTCATGTAACTCTTACCTCTTGAACAGCACTGCAATCCAGAACCCCGAGCCAGAGACTTGAGTCTTATTCACTGCTTTTGCTTCAACATTTCCGATATGCAATTGGTCCTCAAGTTCTTGCCATCCTACTTCTGTAATACTAATCTCTTAAATCGGTGTCCTCTTCACCTTTACAGCCTCTTCTGTTGGCAGTGGGAGACCTGGGGAGAGGAGAGTCCAATGTTTTGGAAGATTCCTGTGGGAGATCCTCATGTTATTCAAGGGATTCCAACAGGACTGCCTTGCCAACCTTCAACCCAAGGTTAGGCATGTATCAAAGCCTGGCCAATCTGTATATTCCAGCCTGCTGACCTGGAAAGAATCTATTGTTTATTTTGCCTTCCCTTTATAACATTTTAATTTCCATTAAATAAATTAAAATGAGCTTTAAAGGCATCCCTGAAGGAGAAAAGACGTCAGATGCCAACAGCCAGACAGCCTGGGGCCAGAGAGGAAAGGGTTATCTGCAGAAGCAACAACAGAACCTTGTAATCCACGATGGGTGACTCCCTAGAATTGGTGTAGGTACTGCAATCACACAACGGAAAGTCCAGGTAGACCAAGTTGATCCAGAGGCCCAATCAATGCACATTTTGTGCGAATTACTAGGAAAAAGAGGCTCTCTTTCCACTGAAATTGTTGGGTATAAGAACAATATATGCTTGGAACTTCTGAGTGCCATCATGGGGAGAGGGTCCACTGGAAGATAAAACCAGCTCAGAGGAAAGCAAAGCTGGGAGATGGAAAGAGGAAGAGGCAGGAGGGGAGGGAGAGAGTCAGAGGGACAGATAAGGCTAATGACATTGGAGTCTGATGTGAGCAGAAGGAAACCTTTACTGGTTAAACCGCTGAGATTTTGCAGTTGTTACAGCAGTTAGTGTACCCTGGTGAACACGCTGAGAAACACAGATAGTAACAGAGTTCAATAAACCCCTCTGCCTGGTGGTTTGAGGGCCCTGGATGGTTTCCTTAACCTATGTTTCCACATTAAAAAGTAGTTAAGGGCACACTTTTTGGAGGAAATTTATTAAATTAAAAAAAAACTACAAATGAGTAATTATAAAATATAATTTCACTCTTATTTACCACAGAATTTTAAAAATACCAATATACAGGCAAGCGCAAATGAAATGGAAAAGAGCTAAAAGTATAAAAGACAAATCTAAACTCAAGAATATATGAGAAGTGACGTACACCATACATTCTCAAGTGAGTTCAGAAAGCGTATTCTGTGCCGGACAGGTTTTCTTTCCAGGTCAGTTTTTATTGGCACCACACTTGGAAAGCTCCCTATGCCAAAGTTCTTACGTGTCAGGATCTTCCTAGACCTCCCTGGGAAAGCATTTCTCATAAAACAGCTCACATCAGACAGGGTGACTTATTATAGGTACAAAAATCACAAATGCCTCTCATAGGTCCCATGGAGCTTGGAAAAAAATGATCTGCTAATGAAAACAAAACATTCTAAAAATGGAAAAGTGGCACCTAGTGGCCACTTAACAGTTTTTCTTTATGGTTTCTAGCTAATCCTAGATGTCAGCCTCTCTGCCCATAACATTGTGCTGGGCAAGTATGAGTCTCCCATTCCACAGCCCAGTGATGACCTCCCTGATGGGCAGATACCTCTTGGCAGCATGATCTGAAACTGGACACTACTAAACATGGTCTGATAACTAAATATCAGCTATTTCTTGTACCTGTGCCCCACATTTTACAGAGATCCCTCAAAGACTATGATGACAAAGACATCCTTTCCTGTTGTGACACTGTAAATAAACATTTCCCTTTTAATTCCATTTATTTACTAAAAGTCTCTATTCCGTACTTTCCTGTTTGTCTTTCTGCTTCACAATAGATTTCCAAATATAATGATGACCATATAACTCATTTTACTTGATTCCAAGTATCATCCTGTAATAAAATATCTGATATTTTAAAGTTTATTATTTTCAAAAGTTTAAATTTGGTGATATGGATAGAAACTCATAGTTATTTGATCATACAGATTCAAGGATCAATAAGTAATTGTTCTTTAAACACGGTATTTAAAGAAAAATATCCTTATGGCATAAACTTTGGTCTACTTCAATTACTACTTAATATAATGTTCTAGAGCAGCGCTGTCCAATAGAAATATAATCTGAGCCACATGTGTAATTTTAAGTTTTCTTCTAGTCACATTAAAAAAGTAAAAAGATACAAGTAGAATTTTAATGTTTTATTTAATTCAGTATATCCAAAATATCATTTGAACATGTAATTAATATAAAATTATTAATGTGATATTTTATATTCTTTTGGTAATACTAGTCTTCAAAATCTGGTATGTATCTTACATTGACAGCACACCTCACTTTGTAGTAGCCGCACTGCAAGTGCTCAGTAGCCACATGTGGCTTGTGGCTACCACAATGGACAGCACAGTTCTAGGTTCCATGCTAATGCCGAAGTCCTGTGGATCAGAATCCCAGAATCAGAGCTACAAGTAAACACAGAGATCAAACCTTCTTTTAAAAATGAGGAAGCTGAGGCACAGAGAGTTTAAATGGCTTGCTTGAGGTCACACAGCTAAATTCAGCCTCAACAGGGTTTTCTGATTCTAGGCACTCTTCCACTCCACTACATTAATGTAGTGGCAATTCTTAGAGTTAAAAAAAAGTGCTGTTTTTATGATACTTTCATGCAATTTGTAGATATATTCTTTCTCACCAAAATTCAAAAAATTGATTTGTAGGAGAAAAAAGTAACATAGTGTATACTATAAAAGTATGTCACTTCCAACAGCAAAAATCAAATTTAGTTGAAGAAAGCTAAAACATTTTGAAGGAAACTCTGAACGTGGGAGAGCTATGGTATCATACAATGCATGGATTAGATTCTGAGTCCAGGATGAAAGGATCTACAGAAAAATATTAGAGTGAATCAGTAAAGGATCAAACCATGCACAGAGGATTCAACTGGCTATTTGCCCACCTGATCTATGGAATAGAACAGCCTCCTCTTGCAAAGAGAAAAAACTGCCACTGTGTGAGGCAGCACTGGTCTGCCTCTAGAAACTGCATTTCAAATCCTGGCATCACAAGGGTCTGCCCCCTTCTTTTGAGGCCATCCAGCCATGATGGCCTATCCTGCCACCCCTGGTTTAGGCAGACTCTTTGGAAGCCAAGTCCAACCTGTGATGGTTCAGTCCCCTAAAAAGTGATATTGGTACGCAGGCCCCTCTGCCCAGTTTGGAGAACACATGGGATCTTTCATACTTCTTTAGACTTAACTATAATGCTTAGGCTAGTGCACACCAATTCTCCCGATCTTGTAGGATTTCTTTGGCTTATTTTAAACCTAATGTCTCTCAGGTCCTCGAGTGTCAGACAAGGAATGGTGCTGACTCTCCAACACTGCTGGGACACCATATGCTAATACATCCTTGCCCACACAGCCCCTCAACATTTTACACTTGAAGGAGACATTTGCTTGTGGTTATTGTCTATTGATATATTTGTCAATAACATGTCTGACAGAAGTTCTAATCTATCACCTACAGCTAAAGAAATAGCATGCAGGGTCAAAATAATACTTTGTTTTGGTGAGGGGCTATGAGGAAAATTTGTTGGAAAGATGTAGCACCATATAGAACAGGAAACTGGATTTGAACCCCACATTGAAGGCTGAGGGCTGTCCTATTGAAGTCAGATAGTTCCCAGCCTATCTGACTTTCATTTGTGAGGCACAAAAAATAATATATGGGAGCAAACTTGGTAAGCTATGAAGTACTACCAAAGCAGAAAGTATTATAAAGTACAATCCCCGAGAAGGTAGACATGCAGTATTTTAAATAATCTTAATTCTTATACTCAATTTGAGCCACCTCTGGATTAATTACTGTTAAAAAATGCTCTATAAATTTTAAAGTATAATTAGAAAATTGGGTTTAAAATTATTTCTCATTGTCTCATAATTTTAAAAATGTACTTGTCATTTGTTTAATTATCTTTGGTTACAGGCAATAACTGTAATTGCCTATTACCAAGAAAGCTACAACTAATTCCCAGGTCAGTTAGCTAATCATTTAACCAGTGAGACCACTGTTTTTCCAAATGTGTATAAAGAAACTGGTTTATATACATTAAACATTTAAAACTCTAGGAATTTAATGTGTAACTTTACACAAGACATTTAACCTGCCTGGATCTATTTTTTTCCTTTAGGACGAATCTATCCTTAAGTATGTTTCAATGTCAAAAACCTATTCTATCTATAACGGAAATCTTCAGTGGTTATATTAAAAGTAAAAAATTTTTTTTGAGACAAAGTCTCACTCTGTTGCCCTGACTGGAGTGCAGTGGTAAGGCTCACTGCAACCTCTGTCGCCAGGTTCAAGTGATCCTCTCACCTCAGTCTCCCAAGTAGCTGGGATTACAGGTGTGTGCCACCATGCCTGGGTAATTTTTTTTTTTTTTTTAAGCAGAGACGGGGTTTCACCATATTGGCCAGGCTGGTCTTGAACTCCTGACCTCAAATGATCTGCCTGCCTCAGACTCCCAAAGTGCTGGGATTACAGGCATGAGCCACCACGTTTGGCCTATTAAATCTTATATGCAAAGGTTAATCCCCAAGATCTAGGGCCCTTCCTTTTCCGTAAGTAAAGCTGAAACTCTTTTGACTTTCTCTGAGTTTTAAGTAAAAAAATCATCTCACTTTTAATTCATCTTAAAGTGCTCAAGTGAGCATAAATATCCTGGCTCTGTGCTTGCCTAAGTCTCCAAAGAGCAAATACAGTATTTAATGTGATTATGACTATAAATTGCACTATCCCTTTAAATGTTCAAGTACTCACTGTTTTCTTAAAGTGTGTAAGCCCTATCCGCAATTAAGGAAATTCACAAGGAATGGAAAATGTTCCAAATCATACAACCTACTATTATAAATGAATCTTAGATGCAAAGGAAAAAATCAATATATTACATTACCTTGACTCAAAAAAACTGCATCAAAAATAAAACAAAGCCAAAACAGTATGTAAGTAGTATTCTTGGTTAGAAATGTTTTAGCAAAAATATGGCAACTAGTGGATTATAAGCCATTTCACTGAATAAAGGAGTCTATAATAAACTCTGGTTCTCTTGGGAGGAAAACATTTTTCCCCACATCCCTGTGACAATAAGATGCAAATCTATAAAAATTGGTAGATTGTTAATAAAAGATACAAATAATATCAATACAGTACTGAGGAATAGTTCAGACAGTTTGTCATAAATGAAATGCTTTAAAATGTTTCTCATTTTTGGAATCAAAAATCAAATGCTAGAGGGTCCACTGGATGTCACTGAAGTCCCCAGGGTCTCCCAGGCCCCCTTCTGCTTCTAAGTAATTCATAAATGCAGCCATGGCTGTGTCATCATTGTCACATAGGGCATCAAAATCCAACTGTGCACCATCACCTATGAATTAAAATACAGGCCTGTGTAAGTAAAGGCAATCAGTAAAGTCATACATTTCACACATTTAGAGGTTAAAGAATGATTGTCATAAAAAATGGCAAAGCAAGGCTAGAATACCATACAATGTATTTTTGAAGGCAAAGTATGTATCTTAAGCTGCAGAAGGCTGATATATTTTTAAATGGGTTACCTAGTTTTATAACAATCTTCTGTCAGACAAATTGCACCTAATTCATCTGCTACAAAGAAGTAAGCTATCTTTGAGTTTTCTAACAGGAAATTACACTGCTAAAGTGTATAGATTCTCAGAGACTTTGAAGGAAGCTAGGAGATTGAGTGTATGTGTTTGTGTGTAAACCTTGGAAAGAAAGAATGTAATCTGCTTGTTAAAAACACCCTATTTGTTTAATACTAAAATGAGAAGCCAGGGACAAAAGCATCTTCTAAAAATTTGAAATTTTCTTATAAAAGGGAGGTAAATCAGATTTTTATTGAAAAATGAAATAAGTAGGAACCATGGAGATGAGAATTAATTTAGAAATAAGATGTTTTAGAAATTAAGGGTTAAAATGCAGATAAAGATGACCAAAGGTTTTATATATGTGTCAAAGTACAGTGGAACTTCAGATAATAAATATATTGCTCTATGTGTGTTTAAAGTGGATATCCAAGTTCCTTCAAGTCCTTTGCTTCTCTTTAGTGTATGCTTTAGCAGAGCAATGTCAGTCATGGAAGATATGAAACTATATACAATGGTTTGAATTTGTCCACTCAAATCCATGTGTTGGAAACTTAATCCCCAAGGCAATAGTGTTGAGAATTGAGGCCTGATACGAGGTAATTAGGTCATGAGGACTTGAAGGAACTTGGATATCCTCATAAATGAACTGTCATTATCATGGGAGTGGGTTAGTTATTTTAAGAGTGTGTTTGTTATAAAAGTGAGTTTGGTCATGTCTTGCTTTCTTGCTCTCACCCTCTCTTGCCCTTCTGCCTTCCACCATGGTAAGATGAAGCATGAAGGTCCTCACAAGATGCCTGCACTATACTCTTGGACTTCCCTGTACCAAGAACTGTGAGCCAAATAATTTGTGTTTATTACAAATTACCCCATCTGTGGTATTCTGTTATGGAAACATAAAACAGACTAAAATAACCATGTCACTCAGTTTACTTGATCTGGAGTTTGCATAAACATTGTTAAAATGAATGATTACATCTTAAACATTTTATGACTTGCATCCTTTATGAATTCTTGGTCATTCTTGAGGATAAACTTTTTTTCCTAAACAGAAATACCTTGGTTTTATTTAAATTGTATATTTACCAATACTCATAGCCGATTCCATTGATAACTGAATTCTTAACGACAGGACCATTAAGTAGATCCATTTTAAGATCCAGTATAATTATTGTTATTTAGAATTTTGAATGAAAAAAATACTTATTTATTTATTTACTTATTCTTTTTGAGACAGGGTCTCACTTTGTCACTCAGGCTGGAGTGTTGAGGCACAATTACAGCTCACTGCAGCCTTGACTCCTAGGCTCAAGCAACCCTCCTGCCTCAGCCTCCTGAGTCGCTAGTTTTATAGGCGTGAGCCACCATGACTAGCTAATTAAAACAATTTTTTTTTGTAGAGATGTGTTGTTGCTATGTGTGCCAGGCTGGTTTGAACTTTTGGCCTCAAGCAATCCTCCTGCCTTGGCCTCCCAAAGTGCTGGGATTACAGGTGTGAGCCACTGTGCTCGACTGAGAAAAATCTTAGTTTTAAAACAACCCACTTCTCTAGGAAATTCCTGTGCCCAAAAACAATGATTAAGAAGGCAGTTTTGATAAACAAAATGTTCAGCAGTTCACAAAGAAAACTCACTGAGAAGTGGCTCATGGCTGTGGATAGCAACAGTACTCTGGTTTTGCCTGGTAGCCTCTAGCTCTCCCATTTCAGAAGGACTTGGTGGAAACAACTCCTTATTTGACATCTGAAAAGACAGCCAGAGTAATAAACAGTGAGGTTCCTACCAGAATAAGATAAATACCTTTTTGTAGTTATCAGACACGGGCCTGCTGTCAGTGCCACAACTACCACCATCAATATGGAAGCTTGCTTTTCCCAAGTACCATGTGCCAAGCTCTCCACCTGCATCATCTCATCTCATTTCTCAGATACCGTGAGGCAGCTATATTACATATCATGAATCTGATGCCTGAAGAGGATAATATCTTGCCCAAGGTGCTGAAGCCATGATTCTAACTCAAGTCTACCTGACTCCAAAGCCTGCATTGTTAAGAGCCAAAACTGAAGGTACATATCTAAGGAAAAGTTTTGGATGAAGAAGTCCACGACCACAAATGCTTGAGGTCAAAGTTATTTCTGTTTTTATAAAATGATGGCAAAACTATACCTTATATAAAACTACTATGGGAAATACTTCTTTGGAGTGGGAAACATTAAACCAAATGCTGTTACTGAGAAGTTCTTATACTGTTATACAGTTACAGGCCAAACAATCTAATAATCCACGTAGCTCATAAAATAGGAAATCATTTGCCTATATTGTCTTATTAAGTTGACATGCTTCTATCTATAGAATGCCTGCATAATGTACACTACTTAGACATTTTTACTACAACCTAAATCTGTTTCTCACATACTACCTTGCACAAAATGGATACCCAATAAACATGTGCTAACTGTAGGAATAAATGAATAATAAAGTAGAAGACATGATACTTGTGTAAAAAGAT